GTACTGAGGCTGGCCATATTTATAAAGACAGAAAGTAGAATGGTGGTTGACAGGGTCTGTGAAAAGCATTAAGGGGAACTGTTGTTTAAAGAGTAAAGAAGCTCAATTTTGCAAGATAAAAAGAGCTTTGGAAATTGGCTGTCTAATGGGAAAGTCTGTAACAGTACTGAAATTGTACACTTAAAAATGACTGAGATGGAAATTTTTATATTATATGCATTTTACCACACACACACACACACACACAATTAGTAATCTATTCAAATGATGATTTTTCACCAGATATTTACCTCTTTCAAACAGTTTAAATCCAAATAACACTCTGGAGAGAACAATTACGTATTTTCCAATGCCACATTTCTCCTCTCCTCTAAAGTTCAGTTTCTCCCACCACCTGGGCACATGCTAAAAAATGTTCTCTAAAATCGGTGTCAAGATTTAGCAGGTGGCCAGTGGAAGCTCAGGAACAGGAAAAGGTGAGAAACAGGCAGGAGGATCTAGTATATCTGGAATTGGACATTGAGGTTTTTCCTAATCTCAGAAGGACCAATGAGCTTGATCTGCAGGTGATGATGCTTGGGCCACTCAGGACCCAAATGTACTGTGAGCCGGTGACTCAGGCTTGTGCCCTCCCTCACCCCCATGCTATGCTAGCTCACGCCCTCGTCAGTTTCCCTGGCTGAGCTGGGCTGGCAAATGGCACCTGTGACCACCACCATGGCAAAGGTGGCAAACAGATTACCATTGTACTTGCTAGTAGCGCTCAAGAAAATTTTAAGAAGGGGCGCCTGGGTGGCTCAGTGGGTTATGCATCTGCCTTCAGCTCAGGTCGTGATCCCAGGGTCCTGGGACTGAGTCCCGAGTCCAGGGGGTGAAGGTGGGGGGTGGTCCTTGCTCAGCAGGGAGTCTGCTTCTCCCTCTGCCTGCCACTCCCTCTGCTTGTGCTCTCTATCTCTCTCTCTCTGAGAAATAAATAAATAATAAGATCTTTAATATTTAAAAAAGAAGAAAATTTTAAGAAAACACAAAAGGACTAGCATAATCTCTTCCCCTCAAAGCAATAACTTCCCAGACTAGCAGTTCTTATCCTTATCTCTCCAGTGCAAATAGCATGTAGTTTGATGCCTTTATCCTAGCTTCACAGCTGAACACAAGGAGGTTGGAACAAAACTCCAAACCATCATTTCATATGCAGGGTTACTGTTTTACAGCAGATGAATATACCCCCTTAAGCTCCCTCTACTTTTCTCTTCATGACAGGTATGCAGTTCCTTTGCTGGCAAATATTCACAGGCAGGTCTAACTGGGTTATTCATAGTATGAACTCATGACTGAAATTGGGGAAAATCCACTGAAATATAGCTTCCAGTGACTATGGTCAAATAGAGTAAAATAAAGAAAATAAAACTAGAGTGCACAGAACCATATTGTATAAGAAACACAACAGCTATATAAATCTCATTCTCTTTTCAGCAACTGAGAAGATGGCTGCTTACCCATTTTACTGATGAGGAAAGTGATCAGGTCAAATTAATTTGTGTAAATAGCTTATTAGCAAGCGAGAGAGTCCAGGTCTCTGGGATGCCAAAGCAGCTGGCTTCTTCACTGCCTTGAATGACTTTGGGCAAGATACCTGTCTGAATCTAGAGTCCTTGCTTGTCAAATGATGACAATAATTCCTATCTTACAGTGTTACTGTGATGACTATGAGAGATAATCGATGAGTATATACCTAGGAGGGGGCCAGTGAACACTGTACAGCTTGGATATTCCTTCCTCTTCTCCTCCTGTCCTTCTTCCTCGTCCCCCACTTCATCACCTCCTCCCACTCAAAGTCATGGTAAATACAGGGAGGAAATAGCACTCAGATGGCCGGAGGGAGAAGGCAGGTATCTGGTTCCCTCAGTGAGCCAGTGGGCTGGAGAAGACATGTTTGGGGGGAGAATGAAGAAACACAGAGGCAGCTTCACCTTAGAGAAGTGATAGCATCTAAGAAGAAAGAGAACGCAACATGAGCAGATAATGCTGAAACCATTTGATGAAAGTTCTTTTGGAGCAGAGGATATTTATATGATCTTAAACGATCTCCCCACAGACTATTAATTAATCATGAAAAGGAACTAAAAAGTAATATATACAATGGAGAAATCTGGCAGACCTCCTTAAAACCAAACAGACCATGAGCAATAATGGGACCAACTAATATTTCGTGCCTCCTGGTAGATGCCCTGAGGACAGAGCATCGCTTACTACTCAGATACTAATCATACACAAAGGCATCGCCTGAGCCAAACCATGGAGAAATCCAAACGAGGAACATTCTACAGAGCAACTGACCCATGTTCTGCAAAATGTCAGTGTCATAAAGGATGAAGAAGGACCGAGGAACTGTTCCAGATTAGAGGATAGAGAAGACATGTCAACTCGATGCAAATACATGATCCTAGGAGCTCAGGGGCATTACTGGGACAACTAAAGGGAATTCTAGACTCTGTATTGGTAATAGTATGTATCCATGTTAGATTGCTAAACGTGGCCAATGCATCGTCTAAGATAATGGTCCTGCTCTTAGGAGACACATATTTCAGTATTTAGGGGTGAAAAGTCATCACATCTGCAACTTGCTCTCAAGTGGTTCAACAACAACGAGAAAAATAAAATACGTGTGTGTATGTGTGTGTATGTAGAAAAGAGAAAAAGCAAATAGAGCAAACTACTAACTGGTGAATTCAGGTGAAGGGTCTGCAATGTTTATTATACAATTCCAACCCCTCCCCTGTGGATTTGCAAAAAAAAAAAAAAAGAAAGAAAGAAAGAAATACAAATACCTCAGAGGAATAAAGAAGGTGGCTTTTTTTTTTAATGAGCAGATAACAGCTTGATGATCCCTCAAAAATTTAATGATAGAATTACTGTACGACTCAGCAATTTCACTTCTACAAGAACATACATACCCAAGAGAAATAAAACCATTTGTCTACACAACTTGTACATGAATATTTGCAGCAGCACTATTCACAATAGCCAAAAGGTAGAAACAACCCAAATATCCAATGGCAGATAAATAAAGGAAGTGTGGTGTAGCCATACGGTAGGACATTATTCAGCCAGAAAAAAGGATGAAATTCTGACATATGCTACAACATGGATGAGCCTCAACGATATTCTGTTAAGTGACATAAGCCAGTCACAAGAAGGGCAAATGAAGTATGATTCCACTTACATGAGGGACCTAGACTAGTCAAGTTCATTGAGACAGAAAGTAGAACGGTGGTTGCCAGGGTCTGGGGGAGCGGGGGAGGGAAGATGGGGAATTACTGCTTCACGGGTACAGTGCTTCCTTTTGGGGCGATGAACGTATTCTGGAACTAGATGGAGGTGGTGGTCACACAACCATGCGAATGTAGTAAATGTCACTGAATCGTTTACTTTAAAATTACTGATTTTATGTGACGCAAATGTTACCTCAATAAAAAGCAAAAGGGCAGGCAGGTAAAGGGGGAGTTTGATTCTATGACCTGGGCCACAGAGTGTGAATGAGAAGCGGCCGCGTCCGGAGTGCACACTCACACCGACGAATCTGCTGACTGGGATGGAAATGGTGTGCCTGACGGGGGCTACTGACTGGTTCTGGAATATGCCTAGCAAAATGATGACTGTCCAATTGTGTAATAATCATTTACCTGAATTCCACAGCAAGTTCACAGAACGACAGTGCGGCGAGAACTCATTCTCGTCTGGGTCAGTATCTGCCGTATTTAAAAGATGCTTCAGCTAAAGCAACAGCAACAGGACAAAGGAGGCAATACGGCAATCCCAGAGGCAAACATGTTAGAGGAGAAACCTCTCCCTCGACAGACCCCTGGATGCAGGTGCCTACATGGTGACAGCAGGCTGAATCTCTAGTTTCTGCTTGGCTGGGACTGCACAGGGTTAAAAGCTGCTACCCATTCATCTCTCTGGAAATCACAGCTGCTTTTCACTCAAAGCTGGCACAGAAAAGGTGATCCAGTAAGATGTGTGCAACCCCGCAAGTTATCCTTCACAAGAGCAACGGCGTTTTCAGTTAGAACCTCGAGGAGAGCATGACTTTTTAAAAAAGGGTTTTAAAAATTCCATCACAAAAGAAAAAGAAAATCACATTCACTATAAAAACTTTAGAAAAGGCACAGGGGGAAAAAAATCCCCTGGAGAAGTCACTGCTCTAATTTCGTCATTACCTCTCGTCAGCCTGAGAAGGCAGGACTTAACCTAAGGAATGATTCATTAACGGCGACACCTGGAGCATCTTTAGAAGCTTTCTTGGTGAGAAAGTGCAATAAATTGATGCTTCCTATTATGCCCACTAGTAAGGACAATCCTCACCCTGAATATAATTTTCCCTGAGATGGAAACCCATTTCCTGCCCTTAAAATATGTGTACTGGGAATCTGGTGATGAGAGAATCATGAACAAGTAGACAGAACATCAGGATAAAAACCCACTGTCCTCTTCCTTATAAACGTTCATTCTAAAAGAGCTACTATGAGGGGGGGTAGGCAGGGAGGAGAATTGAAGCAGGAGACAGGGAGAAAGAGGTATGAACATCCAGTTATAAAACAATTAAGTTCCGGGGATGAAAAGTACAGCACGGAAGACAGAGTCAGTAATACTGTAATAATGTCATATGGTGACAGATGGCTACTACACTTCTCGGGGTGAGCAAAGCACAACATACAGAATTGTCAAATCTCTGTTATACATCTGAAACAAATATAACATTGTGTGTCAACTGTAATTCACTAAAAATTTTAAAAAGTTGTTTTAAAAAAATTTTTAAGAGGAGAGTTACAAGGAAGAGAGTCTGATCAAACCATTTTGCAGCCCTTGGTGCCACGTGGGCAGAGCAAAACAAAAGAAGTGATGCTTCTGACATGGTTTAATGTTTGGCTGAGAACATGGATGGACATTGGCTTGAGCCCTTATTTCTCTGGTTGCCTCCTCCAGAGCCCCACACTCACCCATCCAGACTTCCCCGAATTGCCCGGCACCAAGCCTTTTCACCAACTTGATGGAATCCCGTGGGATCTCCCAGGCATCTTTGTCCCATGGCTTTTGTGGTTTGGGGCTAATGCATGCCTTTTCCAATCTTCTGCATAAGCCATCCGACTGCTCTAATGTGAAACAGGGGGAAAAAAAGGTTACAAAGTGTCCTACTTTGTAATTTACCAGTATCTATGAAGAAATTTTGGCTACTAATGGGAACAGCTCCAGCTCAATGTAGTCTGTGAACCTAAACTCTATGGGGGTATCTTTTGTATAATCATGATTTTGGAAACAGTTACCTGAAAGACAATTCTGAACATACTTGATTTTATCCATTAGTACTGTTTGCAAACCTACAATGTGTATCCCTTCAGAGTGGGTGGCAGAAGTAAACAGTACCAGCAGCTACCCACCACAACCGACTTCAATCACACAGGGAATGAACCTAAAGGCCACCCATGGGTTGGGCTAACTGAGAGGGCTAACTGAGAGGTGCTGGAGACATAGGACCACTGACTTGCCACTTCTAAATATTTTCCTGTCATTGTTATTTGTTTTCTTTTACCCAGACTATGGATTACTTTTACACACATATATACACACACACATATATATAAAGACACAGATCTGCAAATCTGCATTCTGATTCCAAATATTTAAAGATGTGTTGTAAAAATATGCACTACATGAAAAGAATATTCATTTTTCTCTTCTCAGTTTTGGAACATTAACTGTCAAACAGCACGGATTGGGTGGGAAGAACTGGGATAATTATTCACTAAGATCCATTCTGATTTCACATGCATATGTAATTATAGATTAATTTAGAATCAATTACAGAATACGATCCTCCAACTTCATCCAAAAGAAATGTACGGTAGAAGAATTTTAATATAAAAAAGTGTTTGAACCCTGCATTTCATAATAAATCTGTTTTGTCTTGTCCGACCTTTAGTTTTTACTTACTTTGGTAATGTTTAATCATGTCACTGATACAAGGGAAAGTGATTCGTGGAGAAATGTAATACCCTCCATTGTCCAGACTTCTAATTTTGTAGTGCTTAATAACATCACCATGCACAGGGTCATAATCTCTGACAGAAAGAGAGTAGCTTCCTGTGGGGGAAAGCACAAGGAAAGATTATGCTTATATTTTACAAGTAAGATCTGCCTTATAAACTCCATGGTACACAATTTGTAATAAAATATGCAAAATGTAAATTAAGTATGTGTATAGTGCATAATTTAAGTCCTGTAAGAAGTCTACTTGACAAATGAAGCTACCATTTTGTTGCTATGAAGCTTACCAACACACCGTTTTCCTTCTTCGTGCTAGTTTTTTTTTTTTTAATTTCACTGAATTGAAAAGTCATTTTGATTTTCTTTCTCTTAAAATTTCAAGATTTACTCTCAATCATAATGGAAGAGGTTCCGCAAACAAACTAAAAGCATGGTGAGAAATGGCCGTAATTATGTCTGCTATGGTACTTTTCATAGCAAAACTATTAAGTTTATTTGTTATCAAGCCATTAAAGCTTTCACTACTAGAATATAATATATATTTTTCTTAAAAAAAGATATATTATGCTAGTTTCTAAGAATGAATTTCTAAATAGTGATTTAGAGGGGGACTTAAACCACTTCCTACCTTTTAAGGTTTCACTTTCTCTGATAAGAAAAGCTCCAGGACCATTCCCTGGTGCCAGCAGCTGCCTTTCTGCATCCTTCCTGGTTATGTCCTTGAAAAACCACCTGAGAAGACATTGTTACATTTCATGGATGTTATGCTCCAGGGAAGGAAAAAGGTACGAATGCATTAAGAAAGCCCAGGCAACAAGCAAAACCATCCAAGATGGCAACGGGTAAGGACTCACTCTTCTGTTTCCAGGGTGTTGACTTTGGCGACGTAGTTGCTGGGGATGAACCCTTCTCTCTTCGTTGAAAGGGATTTAGCTTTCCACCATTCTCCATGCCTGGAAGAGAAACAGACATCAAAAAGTGTTTGTATCCAGGGGCACCAGGCTGGCTCTATTGGTAAAGCATGGGACTCTTGTCCTTGGGCTTGTGGGTAGATTACTTTTTTTTTTTTTAAGTTTTTAAAGAAATAAGTGTGTGTATCCGATGAGTCAAGAGCTGTAATAGCAATTGTCTGAAGGTGTCTGTTTTGGGGGGTGAGGGAAGATGGGAAGATCCCTGGAACCCCAGAATCCAGCAGAAAAATTCACTTCTTTTGCTGAAATAAAACTATGTTTAGAGACTAAGGCAAAGGAAAACAGCCTCACAACTGAGTCCCTGTGCTCAGTGCTGCACACACAAGAGTTGGTAAAAATGGTTCCTATCTTGCAGAAGCAACATGTTTGTAATTTCCCCCAGGATCTCTAAGAAATGCTGTGGGATCCTTATAGAAACGGGATTCAAGGGAACAACGAGGCATAGCTCTCATATTATAAACTCCTTTGTTAAAACATCTAATTTCAATAGAGAGATGCTATGAAGAAAAGAAATGGAAAACCAAAAATAATCCCAAGGAGGAAGGCTCATCCCCACGTTCTTGCCCTCAGCATGGAGCTGAGGAGGAGGCTGGGGCTGAGGCAGGAGGCAGGAATGGAAGGTCCCCATGAGCCTCAACTATGATGTTCAAATTCCCACAGACAGTCGGGCTTCTCGTTTGCAAGACGTGAAGGACAGCCACACGGACACAGAGCTGCTGCCTAAGTGAAAAAATGAAGGCACAGAGATGAAGTGACTTGTCAAGATCACACAGCTATCAAGAGGCAGGGCCAGGATTAGGCCGGAGTTCACACTCACCAGTAAGCATCAACTGCTCTTAACCACTTAGTACCTTGTACTTACTAAGGAGTCTCCCTCCTCCAACCCTAGCGGGTGGGGCCAGTGTGACAACGTATGCAAGATTAGGGGGAAATACTTGGGAAACCCTTGTTCTCAGTACCAATTCCCTGTGGTCTGAGCCACAGATCTATGAGTCAGTAAGGCAGGGGGAAGGGTGGACCAAGGACATGATGATGTCTAAGCGTCTTGCAGAACAACTACAACTGCTGAGTAGGGGCTTTTCCAAAATGACAGCTGCTTCAGCACAGTGCCCTTAAAAATCAAACTAAGTCAGACCCATAAACCCAGTCTGAATTTGAGCAATATAACTAGATAAACATGGCATTAAAATAACACGCAAATTCCCACAGACACAAACTTCTTAAGCTGGCACAGATGGATAAAGAAAGAAACCAGTGTCTCTATTCAAAGGGAAAACTGGAGAACGTAAGAGAAGATTCCCGTGGTGGCCCCACTCCTTGCACTCCCAAAGCACTGCTATCAGCAAGAGGCTGGGAGGCTACTTGTTGCTGCTATGCTGCTGGGAGCAGAAGGAAGGGGCCAGGACTCAGGAGCCCAAGTAAAGGGCCAGCAGGCACAGGGTGTATGGGCATACTTACTCCTCCAGGACCTTCATCTTCTCTCCTTTCTTGAAAGACAAGTCGTCTGGGTGGATGCCATCATAGGGGTACAAGGCTATCACGATGTCTCCTTGCTCCTCCGGATCTATAAGGAAGGACGAAAGGGAAGACCTTCAAGAATCCATCAATGGAAATGTTTTAACAAGTCTTTACCTGGCACAAAAGCTGGATGATGACTTGTGTTTCCTGCGTAGTGGGGCTCACAGCACACATGGTCTACAGTAAGCAACATATTATCCACACTGGATACAGTTTATGTTATCCCCAGTCATACAGACCTACAACGATAATTAATTCCCCCCCTCCCCGGTATTTCAGAAATGATATAGCCATGTTCAGAGCAGCATTATTTTCAAGAGCTGAAAGGAAAAGTCCAAATGTTCAGTGACGAATGAGGATAAGCAAAATATGGTGTGTCCACACAACAGGATATTATTCAACATGGATGAACACTGAAGACATTATGAGGAGTGAAATACACCAGACACAAAAGGACAAACACTTTATGAATCCACTTATTTGAGGTACCTAAAGTGGCCAAACGCATTGAGACGGAAAGTGGAATGGTGGCTGGCAGGGGCTGAGGGGAGTAGGGGGACGGGGAGTTCGTGTTAAACTTGGACAGAGTTTCAGCTCAGGGAGATGAAGAAGTTGGAGATGGATGGGGAGATGGATGGGGGTGCTGGCTGTCCAGTAATGGGAATGTACTTAACTACTCAACTGGACACGTAAAAATGGTTACAATGATAAATTTTATATTACATGTATTTTTTGGCAATGAAAGTATAAATAAAAACACCCAAGCTGACTCCCTTATAGCATCTGTAACAGTAAAGAAAGGAAAACTACCATGTTGCTATGGAAACATACCTTTAGTCTGAAACCTCTGTCCTGGTAAAAGCTGAGATTCTGGAACCTAGGAGAGAATATTGGTTAGGAAAAGGATTTTGACGTTTAGCTTTTCTTACTCACAGTCATGTTGTGTGTTATATCATTTTTCTCACAGTAGCAAATGAGGTTTAGAATGGCTAATTTAGGAAGCTGGAAAGAAGAGAAGAACTGAGAAAACATTTTGCAGAGCTATGTCCCATCCTACACAGCTCAGCGGAACAGCTCTCCCTTCTAAAAAGCAGTCATTTGTCGGTGGTAACAGGAAGTGAACAGGTGAAGGCTGGAGTCTCAGCATGGAAACCCAGAGCAAAATATGGAAATGGCTTGAGCCCCTGCTGGCTTGGTAGGACTTTGGCCAGAACTGCTGATCTCCGTGTTTCCCAGACTTGTTCAGAAAACGAGTCAGGGCTCTGTCACTAGACCCTGAGAACAGGTCCTAACGGATCCAGGTTTCCTAAGGCTGACCCTGCTCCTGTCATGGGACAGATGGCGTCCCGTTACTTCAGCTTTGAGGTGGATTAGCAAGAAGGGTCTGTGGGACAAAAGGCCACCTCAATGACCTTTCAAATGAAATTCCTTTTTCTCTCAGTGACCATGAGGAGGATAAGACCTCGTGGGCCCTTTCTCAGGAAAGTACTGTCCAAGGCCTATATCCACAAATCATGCAACTTTTCCCTTTGATTCAGTGGCTCAAAGGAATGGACCTTTGCACTGAAATTTAAAATTTTTTTTAATTTAAATTTCGGGTGAAAGCCCATAAAATCTCCAATTTGAGGCTGGGCCAGTGGGGGAGGGAACATTACTTTGTGTCCTGCTATCTGAAAATTGGGGGTCCGTGTTATCCTTGAATACTTACTTTAAGAAGTCCTACACTGATTTTTTAATCATGGGGATTTCCATAATTAGGATTGCATGATCAATTATAAATGTTTAATGGAAATAATCAGAAGATGAGAAACTAATTAAATCACTTTGAAAGCAGCAAGCTGATTGTCAAATATCAAAGAGTCCTTAATTTATAAATGTTTTAATAGACTTTCTAGAAGACCAAAACACATATAGGCCAATTCATCTGCCATTTAACTCTTTCCTTAAAATGTCTTTTCCTCGAGGCGTTGCTGAATTTCATCAATTCCACCTCACCATCACAGTTCTTCTGTCACGGAGCCAGGGCATCCAATTTTGGCACATCTGGCCACACCTTGGACTGTTATCTATGGCCATGGGATAAGGCAACCCTCCGGGCTCAGGAAACAAGGGCAGCCAGAGAAGGCACAGACTAACAGACAGAATCCAGGAGGGAATTGTCATATTGCAAACCTGTTTACTACTTCACCTTCCAACCCCATGTTTAACCTCTTTCACTCTTAGGAGGAGGAAAAATGGCACGTTTATGTGATTTGCCTTTGTTTTTCTGAATCAAGGCATCTTCGTTGATCATTTCATAAAGAGAACTTGGGTTCTAAGCAAGTAAAATACCTAGCATGTGATATCAGGAAAAGCCAGATTCTTTTCATGAGAGCTCATCAAGTCTATAATGAGGAAACTACCTGTGACTCCAATTCTTTCATTCGTTTTCTTTTCTATTAAGCATTTTTATGTAATATAGTCCTATACTTATACTGGTTTATATAATGTTATTAAATACTATATTTATATGTATATCACTAAATTATTAAAGTGATAGTCTTATACCTTTTGAGTTTCTTTCTATATAACATTAATTTATCTATCTAGAAACATCATGTACAATAATTAACAGCAATAATATATTCACTCTTCATCTCCACTGTTTGAGAATGCCAATAGTAACTTCTCAATTTCAGCAATGGCATGAGACTTTGACAGACATCAAACCTCCAGGATACTATAAAAATTCTTAATAAAGGCATTGGGACTATATATGTGTGTGTGTGTGTGTGTGTGTGTGTGTACATATATATATATGTACATATATATCATATATACATACATACATACATATATATATGTATATATATATGGGATGGGAAGGATAAAAGATCGGAAGTAAAGTGCATTTAACGTAGCAACTATCCAAAGCTCTGGTCCTCTTCTCCATGAAATTAGAGTATTAGGTCTTCCTTGGCCAAGCAGTTCCCAACTGCATCGAATAGCACATCACTCATATGAAATTTCTGGTACAGATATTTGTCCAAGGTTAGGGGGCAGAATTAGCTGTGTACTTTTTTAATCATTTAATTCTCTATAATAAGTCATGACAACTTCAGAATCTACTGTTTGGAGTTAACTGAAGAATGACAAGATATGGGATAAAATATGATACACTACAAGGGGCATATCAGCATTTATTTTAGCTTCTGACTCAAATCCAAAATTTCCTTTGCCTCCAGACCACTGCGCTAATCTCACTACCTATCCTAAGTCACAGAAGTTCGGATAGACAGATCAATTTAACTTTATATATAAAATATCTTTATATTTATCTCACTACCTATCCTAAGTCACAGAAGTTCAAATAGATCAATTTATCTTTATATATCTATATATATAAACTGGGTCTTTGCACCAGTGATATGAAAGATTATTTTCTTTACACATGAGAAGGTGATCAAAGGCCATTAATTGTACAACAAGTGGTCTGGTAAAATCTCTAAAATGTTTACAAACTCTTTAAAAGATTAAGTTATAAAGCAAATCAAAAATTATTTGAGGCCCAAGTAATGGATGTGATTTTTTTGCATGCACATGTTACAGATTTGGTGTTTAAATTAAGCAGCCATGCGTTGATCCTGCTGTGGGAATTCTTCCTGAGACTATCTACTTACTGGCCTTTGCTGTTTATTGGACGTTGGATCTCTCACATAAATAGTTCGGTCAGTATTACGTACTGGTTGAGTCTTCAAATCTATTCCATCGTCATTCAGATTGTCTTTCCTTTTTGATTTTATACATCCCATATTTCCTGTGGGAATATAAAGGCAATGACATTGTTTTACCATTTTAGAAATGGCTTCAAGCGGCCAAAATATCTCCATTCACGAAGAATAAAAACAATACATTTTTATTTTTTTATTATAGATAGCTTAACAAACTCAAATGTGAATACAGTTCACATACCCATTTGCTTGTTCATTCATTCATTCAACAACTATTAATTGAGCACCAATCTTATGTCAGAAGACATCATTCACACCCTAAAGATGCTCCTATTCTCGTGACAGAGATTCGAGAATTAAAATTATAGTAGAGTCAATGACAAAGGATGCACAGGGCCTAGGAAAGAGTACCTAACTCAGGCAAGTGGAAAAAGAGGTAGTGAGGGGAAATGTCCCCAAGAAAATCTCTGTAAGTCACAAAAGGAGGGATGTCAATCCTGGGCAGAGGCAGTAAAGGGATTCCAGGAAGGAGGAACTTCATATGCAAAATACTGATCCAGAGATAAGAAGGCTCATTCAGGGAACTAGTTCATCACAGGCCTATAGGGAACTGGTTCATCTCACTTCTTTGGGGAACAGGTTCAAGCTGATCCCTTCAGGGAACTAGGTCTATGATGAGAAACCCGGAGCAGCTAGGGAAGGCCAGGAGCTGGGATGCAAACAGAAGCACACCTTGTGTGCCATGCTGGGGAGCTGTTTTTCTTACTTTGTCATTTCACGAGGACACAATGGACAAGATCAAGTGAGGGGGCTGAGGCGTCAAAGGCAAGCATGACTAATCAAGAGCTAGATGGCGCAGAACCTGCCTCCAAATGAATGTGGCTTGGGGCCTAGGAAAATGGTAGTGGCCCTCCACCAAGACTGGAAATAAATGAGGAGATGCTGATGTGGGAGAGACGATGCCTGGAGGAACATTCAGCTGATCAGCTCCTGTGGGCTTCCCAGTAAGGTATGTGACTGTGGAAACCGGGAGAGATGGTGGAGCTAGAGGCACAAATGAAGGCATCAGCACACCGTGACTGTGCCTAATACCCCAGAGGAAGAACCGTGGACAGCAGGGGCTGGCGCCTGACCGGCTGGCGCCTGACCGGGGCAGAACAACATAACCGTGCTTCGGAATGTTAAACTCCTTTATTTGTTTCTCCGGTTAATACTAGGATGCGTAGAGCACTGCACCAAGCCCTCTGGGGACTAAAGAGATGAATTTAAAAACTAAAATCAGGTTATGAATCTTGCCTTACAGCATAGTCTCATGGTTAAATCTATACATTAAAAACAAAAAATCTGTTTGAGCTCCATTAGAAGATCTCGCAAGGCAGTGGTTCTAAAAGCTGAAGGAACACCAGGATCACCAAACTCAACATATTTCCTGGATGCATACCAGTTAATTCCTTGGGGCCCAATCATGTCCCCTCCCCCTGGGAGGGGCGTAATCTGTGGAATTCCAAAGCACTGCCACTGGGGGACCACTGCTTAGAACTTTAGAGGAGGGAGAGATGATTTGGAGTTTGGGGATGCGGTGGTGGGAATCAAGAAATAACTCCCGGAGGAGGAATTGTTCTAGGAAACCTCAAGATCTCCAAACTGTCAAACTGTCAACCACAGGCCACAGCTGGATTCTGCACCTTGTCCTGCAGGATTCCAGTGGGCCTGCAGCCTTCAACTTGTTTATCTTCTCATCACGGAGATACGCTGCCTCTAAACGACAGTCACACCTCTTTCCGAAACTAGCAAGCTGCAGTTCCCAAAATAAAGGGGAAGCAAGTACTTCTTTGATTCAAAACAGCTTTTTTTTTTTTTTTTTAAATAGGCTAAAGTTTCTGCAATGGAGAAGGGCTTTAAGTTGATCTGTAAAGAAGCGAGATGGGCTTTAGAGCTGATCTGTAACTAAACAGACAAGCTCTTTTTCACTAGTCTCAACCCCCACCCACTCCCCAAACAGCTGTGTTTCACTGATCATTCAATAAGATGCTGCTGTTCAAGAAGGGAAAATGGAACTCGCTGCTGAGCGCACAGCCGGCTCCAAGAGGAGGCCCTGGAGGGTCCACCTGACTGCCACTGCTCTTTGGTCTTCACAGTACCCTGCCTCCCCCTCACACTGATGCACCCCCACTCTGGGGGTTCACTCTCTTGTTGCCTGGCCAGCTGCTCCACTGCAGAGCACACTCCTTATCTCTCTTTCTTTGTCTCCATCTCTCTGTCTCTCTCTGTGTCTCTGTCTCTTCCTGTCTCTCTCTCCCTCTTTCCCTCTCAGTGTCTCTCTGTCTCTGCATCTCTGTCCCTCTCTCCCACCCTCATCTAGATACAATGTTATTTGCCCAGACTGGTCTTCACTAAGGATCCTACTGAAAAGATCACCCCTCTGCCCATGCTGCAGGCTTTTCACTCTTCTTTTTCTAATTGTGACCGACATCCCATAACATTTTGGCTAATTCCTGGTCAGTCCCTACCAGAATTGAGGCAGACGGGGAAACCCCCAGCCTGTTTCTTCTGGGCAGTATTCCCAGCAACTGCATAGCGCCCACGGAGAGCAGGTGCTCAGGGGACATGCGGGGCGAGAATGAAGGGATGGACCTGCTCTGGCCGCTGCCCTCCGCCTTCCCACACGCTCATCCTGAGCCCCCCTTGCAAAACGTGGACAAGAAAAAGGAAAGGCGGTGAAACCCACCTTAGTTGTTTTAAAAGACACAGAAACCTCTAGAACTAACTTCTAGTTTATAGGAAACACAGAGGTCAGAGGAACAAAATCATCAGACAAGCCCATAATGTGTAACTAGTCTGGATACTTTGAAAAGGGGGTTGGGGGTTAGGACAGAACTATTCAAAATTAAGAGATTAAAGAAACGCAATGGGCGAACCTTGAATGAATCCTGGATGGGGGTGGGGTGGGGGTAGAGGAGGACACAAGTTGGGATAATTGGGGACATCTGAATATATTTGAACATGGTGTTAGGGAATTGCTGGGTTTCATAGGTGATATGATGATAGATAGCACTGTGGTTATACAGAAGAATGTCCTTATTTTAGGAGATGCCTACAGTCGTGTGCATGGATGGAGTCTCATGGTGTCTGCCAGTTACAACACTTTGGCCAAAGATGAAAAAGACAAGGGAGTGGGGAGACAAAAGTGGCATAACATTAAAAAAATCAGTGAATAAAAAAAAAAAAATCAGTGAATCTAGGTGAGGATGTTCTTTCATCTCTGCCCCCCACCCCAACCGGGGCTTTGTTATTTTCAAAATAAAATGTTGGAGTGGGGAGAAAATAAAGAAATATACTACTTTTTTCATAAAATTGTTCAAAATGTTAGAAACCCCTGCAGTGTGCGTGTGTGTGTATATGCGCGTGCACGGGTACACAGGGACACAGGGGATGAGGTAAGAAAAGTACTCTGAGGGGTGTTATTTCTAGATCATGCCAAGGAGTGCAGACTTTATTTCAGTAGGAAGCCGTGGAGAGTTTGTTACCCAGGGAAATGATACAATGAGATCACTCCTTCCCAGAGAGAACTCTGTAAGAGCAAGAGGGGAGAAGAGAACTGGATGGGGACATCTGCGACGCAGACCTCTGAGAGAACTAAAAAAAGAGACAGTGGTCACTGTCCAAGGGCAGGGTCCCTGGGAAGAAGACGAAGGACAGAAATAGAAAGCAGGTAGATGTGTGAGGGGTGGAGACAGTCCATGGATTATCATTTCTTTATGCTTATTTCATATTTCCCCTTCCCCACCACCATGGATCTCTGAGAACGAATGCATGGGCCATAGACGGAAATAATTACAACACAACTCCACATGGAGAAACCGTCCTTGGTTGCTCAGGCTGAGCCACCCTCTGCTGACTGCCCACCCAGCAGGGAGCTCTGGGTTGGGGCCCTACAGTTGCTCACAATACAGCAAGAAAGCTCACAGAGCTCCTTGCTGTGACACGGGGATGAACTCAGACCAGGTTTACCAATGCCTTCTACTCTGGGAAGGTACCAGAAAGAAAATGCACCCCCAACAAAAAACAAGAAAGTGGTTACACCTTTGCAAATGATATGAGCTACAATGTACAATGACTCACCACTTAGTATTTTTTAATTAGACATTAATCATTTTCTAAGCACTTCATTTATGACTTGAAGAAACCCTCTGACTCAGGTATTACTAACCCCACTCTACAGAGGAGTACACTGAGGCCTACAGAGGTCATATGACCAGTTCTCAAGCCACAGCACTGGGGAATGCTGGCTCTGGGACACACACAGCTTTAGCTCAAAGTCCATGCTCCACCCTCCATTTTGCTATATGGTGGCTATTTTGAAACTTGTGCTTTATCTGTGTATTAACGATGCTCAATGAAGGGGTTATTTTTGTGGCTTGCTTCTTTCTCAAAAGGACTTGAAATGCTTTCACCAAAAAAGGACAATAATGAGTTTTTTAAAAATGAAAACAGAAAAAACTGAGCCCAGGAAAAGAAGGGAATGGAGATGGGGTAACATGGTGGGCACCAGATTTGCTAGAATAGGTTTCCTGTCAGGAACAGCTAGAGTGCAGGGTGGGTGACGGTGCTTTCATGAAGGGAAGAGGAAGTGGACCCGAACTTGTCAGAGGAGGGCAAGGCCCCGGCACAAATGCTTAAGGTTTCTTATGACGGGCTTTACATCAAGTCCTTCAGATGTAAATATCTTCAAGTCCTATGGCAAGATCTTCAGTTTTTTTTAGCAGTGAATGAAGGCACATTTCCCATGTGGAGATCTTCATTGAATAACGATAATAACAGGGGGTTTGACATGCAAATACAGTCCTGGGATATTCATTTCATGAGCTCCAATACACCGCCTGAAGAGACACAAACAGTTGGGCAACCATTCGCTCACAAAGGGACTTCCACCCACACATCCAGGAAATGGGAGGCAGGTAACTTTTCTTGCCCAAAAATGTCTGTTGGTCACTGGAACAAATATCCACTGGGTGGCTTATCCTCACAGAAGGGCCTTAGAATACCAAAATCCTTAATTAAAAAAAAAAAAAGATTTTGGAGAAAA